TTCTTCTCGTGTGTCTTGAATTTTACTATTTTTGGTGAGTCTGTCATGATTCTCAGATTGTAGTTAGTCATACGGTTTACACAAATAATGAAGATAGATCATCTTTTCATTATAAGCAGCTATTTTGCAAGGAAACTTCTTAATGTTGATCATAAAGGGATACTCAAGATAGCAATAAAAAAAAAACTGTAGATCTGTAGTACATAATTTCCTTATGTCTGAATTCCAGTGTGGGTTTATGAAAGGCTACATGAGAGAGAGGCAGAGATAGAAATGAAGGAAATGTAGGCATAGTTTGGGAGTGTACAAGCTCGAGGTCTTTCATCCAGTAACTTGCTTTCCAGATGGACACAATATTCAAGCTGGGTCAGGTCAATTCCTGCAGCATGGACTCCGAGTAAGTTTCTTCATGGATGCTAGGACCCACATACTTAGGCTTTTACTAACATATTTTCAGGGACATTCACAGAGTGTTATAGAAAACAGAGTAGCTAAGACTTGAGCTAGCTGCATGCAGTGGAATTACGTCACTGCTGGTACTGGCTTGATGTGCTGTTCCATACCACCAGCCCCCACATTTAAGAACTGGTGCTCCTTTAATATCTGTGTTGCTTGTCTCTTCATATTAATTTCATCTTAATTGTTTTTCATCTTAATACTAAAAATATGGTCTGTATCCTATGTCTTCAATATTTTCTGTGAGCTTTCTGCTTTCTGATAATTTCTTATTTGGTGGGATCTCTGTGAAAATATTCTTACACTTTTCATAAACAGGTCTGATAACATTTGTGACTTGTCTCCCTCAGTGTTTTTATCTTTCATATCCAGGAGATACCTTTCCTAGGTACAGTATCTTGACTGGATATAGTATCTTTGTGTTTTGCTTTTTCCTTTAACTCTATTGGAATCTAATCCTATTGCTTCCTGGCCTATGAATTTTCTACTGATAAGTCAGCTTTCAGGCAAGTTACAACATTGTCTATTTTCTCAGCTTTGAAAGACCTCTCCTCTAACCTTAGATAGCTTGACTAGAGTATGAACTGGGGGCAGATTGGGTTGAGCTGAATCTGAATGGTGGTATTCTACTTTGCTATATCTTAATTATTGCATATTTATCTTGGTTTGGAATATTTCTTGTTCATACCTTTCTATGATTTATAACTCTGGCTTTCTCCAGTCTCCTTTGATTCAAGCAGTTTAAATGCTTATTTGTTTTATGATGTCACAAAATTCCTTTAATTCCTGTTTTTGTTTTTTTCTGATTTCCCTTTCAAATAGCCACTTCTGAGGTCACAACTGCATCTGTGTTGATACTTCCACCACACTGTTAATTTTTCTTAGTGTCATTTTTACCTCAATGATAACTGTTTGATATTTTTACAATTACTTCCATCATTCCATGAGTCTGTAGTTTTCTTACCTGTGAGTTTTCTGCTTTCTGATAATTTCTTATCAGAAATATTCAATCATATCTCTTTGAAGGTTCACTGGGTTTTCATTAAAACTTCATTTTGAATTCATTTCTTTCCTTTGGTGGGGTCATGGTTCCCTCGAAGTCCTGAAGGCTGTTGGCTGGTGAAGCCATCCACACAGTGAAGGGTTTGCAGTCACCCCTACTGCAATTCTTAGCAGTCTGAATATTTGCTGAGTGCATGGACCTATTGTAGTGCTAGATGGAAATGTGTACATTTCCAGGAGTCCTTTGTGGGCTCTCCCAGTTCTCCATAAATCCTCAGTTAGTATATAGCTTAAAATGAACTGATAAAATGCTCTGAAGTGAGTATTCCATCCCTTCTAGTTTCTTCCTGGTACTGAAGTAAACCCAGACTTCTAGTCCCACAGCCACCAATGCGGCAATGTACGATCTCACTGGGGCCTGCAGTTCATCAAGAGGACCACAGCACAGGGAAAGGACCACAAAACACACGGGTAAAGTTTGCTACTGCCGAATTGTTTCATCAGCTAGGTACCAAGGCCAGAGGCCGTCCTGTACTTCCTTCCCACCTTATTCCGTGTGGCTGAAATCTTACTTCAGGCTGTCTGCCTGATGTTGGAAGAGGGCTGGAAGAGAGTTCCTTACATCTCACATGCACCATGCCCTTAGCATTGGATGCATGTGCTGCTGATAGAAGAAAGGCCCAAACAAGCCCATCTTGCCAAAGGTAGGGACAGTCCCTGGGCTATCTGGTGGAAAAGTTACAAAGGCTCTGTCTGAAGGTACCGATCTGACAGCTGCAACTGAGCGCTTTGTCTAACATTGGGGTTAAGGCCTGGACTTTACTGCAACAGGGAGGAAAGGTTTCTCCCACTACACAGCACTACTGGATGCTGAGGGTGGGGCTAGAGATTGACCGAACTCATTCCTTCCTTTTTCAGTAAAGTGTTGATCTTACTAGTGAGGCATTATTTTATTGCTTTCCTTGGGTCTTGTAAAGCTATTGTTTGTTAACATATGTTCAAACCAGTGCCTCTGTGGGGAAGATGATCAGCAGAACATCATGGTCACCATCCTGTTAACCCTCCTGGCTAATTATCTGCTAGAAGTACTTAATGTCTTGGCTTGGAAACCCACACAGTGTTCAATTGGCAGCAGTAGGTATTCATCACCTGTTGATTGAATGAAGCAACAGTCATGCCAGTTAGGCCAGCAATAGTTTATTGAAAGTTGTAGAAATGGAAGACAGTCATTCAAAAACTGTATTCTGATTATCGATCAGCATTGTGCCTTTGAAGCTTTACCAGCGTATGTAAAACAGTATTTGTCTTAGGAAAGAAATGACCATAATCTAAATGGTCACCTGTAAGAATGGTGCTACTTATTTTGATTGATGTAGTCTGTAAGTAGGGGCTAATGCTAAAGGTAGGAAAGCTGATTCCACGATATTACTAGTGAATTTAAAATTACATTCTCTGAGCATGTATGTTTTCCCAATTGTGTCTTGAAAAAGTATATTATATCTTTCCCCAGTAATGCATACCCTTTTCAAATAGTTTCACATTTTGGTTGCCATTTCTTCTAGTATTTCTTTTCCGGTAAATCTCATTAGTGCTTTCATAGTGAAATCATTAATACTGGTTAAATTTGCTATGTATAAATCAGAAAAAGACTCATAGCCAAGTTGAAAATATTCTTAACCACCACCAAATAGTCTAAATTGTCACCATTACAGAATATGTGCAAATTGAAAGACTGGCTATTAAATCTCTCACAGGTGTATTTTAAAACTTAACTTTGCTCTATATTTAAGATTATAAATCATCTATATTACTAAGAAATCCACTAAACTTAGAAAAACATTTAAGATGACAAAGATAGTGTGATTAAATAATTTATTACCATTGCTATGATGAACACATATACTTGATACTCAATTTTATGTAGAACTTTAAAAAAATAGTTTTAATACAGTATCAAAATTTACACATGTATATTGTCAAAAGACCAGTGTCTCTTGTGTTAGATTCTGCAGGTTCTGCTGCAGGCATAACTTGTTTTAAATTCTTCAGCATGTAGGAATGCAACAATTTAAGGACAAAAGCTCTTTTATAAGAAGGTGTAAATATAGCAGGCAGTTTCTTGTTTCAGAGTAATACTTTAAAATATAATATTTTAAAGAATGACTGGCTTGAATTATAACCCAATTATAATTATAGAAATAATTCTATAGCAAATTAATGCATAAATAGTTTCTGAAAATTAAAGATGTGGGTTATAACCTGTTTTTAAGTATTACAAAATTTCTTTACATTCCCCCAGCAAGGACAATTAATACACTGCGTAATGAACCCATTTAAAAAGGACATAACATCTATTATGAATAAAATTTCAATAACTCAGTATATAATAAAAACTGGGAACTGTTGCATTCCTACTTTTATAATCTTAAACTACAGTAAAAAATGTAGCATTCTGTCACAGGCCTCTTGCACATTCATACAAGAAACTATCATTGCATTTAGATAAACACAAAATATCATAGTGTTTCCGATACACACATCCTAATATTATATGTATATATACCAAAAACTAAAAAACAAAGCTAGCACACCTCTTTTTTGAAACCTCAAGCAACCTGAACAAGAGCTTTTAGTTTCAATTCTGAAAAAACATGCGAAGATTTCATAAAATGGTAGCTGTAGTAGGCAATGAAAGCTGTTCAATAAATGCAGTGCAATATTTTAAAGTTTACATAAAGTTTAAATATATAGCTGTCTAGAAACTAAATATAGAAATGGACACCTCACAGCTCAAAACACTCAGAAAAGCTATGTTTTGTTTTAATTGAAATTGCTAACATTCACATCAGTGGATATACTTAGTGAATATATATGTTGGGAATTTTCCCCATGATATGTATTTTTGAGCAGTTAGTTTTAAAAAAAAAATCACTCATTTGAAATGGTACTCTGATAAGCACTTTACAAACTCTTGGTAATCTAGCTGGTAAGAAAGTATATGTACCATTTTTAGCACCTCAAAAAAAAAATTAAACCCCAGAAACCGTCTAAATGAATTATGGATTATAAACTGACACTCTGAATTATAGAGGTAGTTGCCCAACTCTCAAACTTGGGAAGTTGAAAAATACCTCTTCATGTCTTCAACAAACATGGGAGAAAATTGCCCAAGTGTACACAATGAGCCAACTCTATTGAGACCACTAAGGTTCTATTAAGACTCTTCTACCATGCATGTTGCCTTATTCTCTGAATCCTGGGGAGTCAGAAATGCTTTAGATCTATTGAGCACAATGGTACCAAAATGGTAAATTTGCAAAGATACCTTTCTGGAGACTGACTCTTGTGGACATGGAAATGAAATACATAGAACATGAGCTGTTAGAGAGAAGTTATATTAAATATGATAATAGGAGAAATACGTGCAATGTACAAACACTCCACGTTATCCCATGAGTCCAGGCTTGCTGGAATCCATTCTTGGCTTTTTCTTCTTGTCTTTGCTGTCTGGCAGTGATGTCATGTTTGAAAGAGAGTGCTTTTCACATTGGTCCTTTATACTGGTTTCCTGATAAATGTTGCCTAATTCCAGGACAGGAACCTGCAGCATCTCCAAGTTTCCTCCACACAACCTTAAAAGAATGATAATCATGAGTGAGCTTTTTAAACTTGTTTTTCCCAAACAGATTTGATACACAGAGATGGGCACTGATGGATATGAAGACAAAATATCCAAATGAATGAGCTCAAAAACAGATGAGATTTCAAGCTTCTCAAACATAGGTACTTTCAGGAGTGGGGGCTGCTATGCTTGGACAGTAGCAACCAGGGCCACACTTGTACAATAATGTGCCAATTTGGATTCCATGAACAGACCTAAATTTTAACCATATGCAGAGCACTTGGGGAACTGAAACAGTAACTCCTTCACAAAATCTGATTATCAATGGAGATGAGGAATGGACACATTTGAAAGCTCCCCAGCTGATTTTTAGGAACCAGATCGAGTTTGCAAAGGTGTTGTCATCTCATGTATACAACCAAGAATATCACTTTTTAAACCATTGATGTAAGTGAAGGAGCTTTTCTACATCTGTTTAATTCCTGAGCCAGCAGGCTTAAAACTGAAAAATTTCCCTAGTTTTCTTCAGTCATCATGAAGCTGAGCTACTAAACAAGATCTCTCATAATTATGAACAGAAACCATCCAAATATAGAGGAAAAAATTCAGCAAAGGTGTTTTAGAATGGGTCCTCGTTTAAACATATTACATGTTATTAATATGAAATTACTGAATTCACCAGTACTATCAGCAATCTAAGTAATTGGTTATACACATTGAGTTCACATCCATTAACAGCCAGAACTCTCCTGGAGGGTTTTACATGGTTTCCCACTGAATGTCTCAGGGTTCTAATGACAGAAAACCAGTTTTTTATTCGTGGAGAACACTGCTTTCTGATTTGCTTTTGCTCTGACCTTGTCGATGTGTTTTACCAGTACCATTAAAAGTAACTTCATTTGCAAGACAGTAGAAACGCTAGTCTGTTTCAACAGACATCACTGAGTGGTAAACATCCATTTATACTTGAAGAGAGCTATAGTTATGGTTATTAACAATTTGGAAAGGAATTCTATGAGCTGCTCAAGCAATCCACAAAGGAATGAGAATCCTTTGGTGTTCTTGAGCCAAATTCATTAACAATGAATCAAGAAGCTTTACTTTCCTAGCCTCTAAAGATAGCAGTATGAGCCCCTCGTGTTTTGTTTGGTTTAGAATGAGAAAATATATGCTTGAAGCCCTCACAGACCCAAAACATTAGACAGTTAATACTGAAAATGTGCAACACAATGTATGTTAACATAGCTCTATTGCTACAGGGTGTAAGTAAACTCTTACAGGAGACACAGCTCTGAAACAAAAGGATCCAAAAGAAGACGCAGAAGTAGTGATTTTTAAAGATACAGTGACTAGTCAAGTATTTCAGCTGTCTGCAAGGAATTTACAAGAGCCAAATAGACAAAGGTAAAATGTCTAAAGTAATACATTTTCTTATGCCTAAAAGTATGCTTATTTCTATAGCACAGTATAAATGGTCACCCACCGTTTGATGGTGGCATGGATAAGTCTATGTATATGGCAATAATTCATATCCGGGAAGAACACCAGAAACTATGGTAAAACTTCGACTGACTTCCACATGGGTTTAACAACTCATTTTGTGTCAGGAAAAAGCTTTATACTTTTGCAACATTATGAAAGTAAATAGTTCTAATCGGGATTCTACGTATTATGGAGTTACTATTCCTAAGAACTTGAACTCAGCGTTTTTTCTGTTTCTTTATGATTTCTTTTTCATGGTCATAGGATTTATAGTAATCATTTTTAAAACACCATTTTTTCTAGGTTATGTTCAAGTATAGGTCAGATTTGTGTTGGTTTACAATTTTCTCAAAATCTGGAGATGAAAGATACCCGAAACTTTCAAAGGGTATAAAGAGGGCAAAACTTCAATATCCTGCAATTATAAAGGAACATATTTATATACCTAGGACTATATATTTATAAATTTAATACCTATAATACATAAATGTTACCACATGGTGATTTTTGTGGGGGAAAAAAACTGAAGAAAAGATGAACAAAAACTCATCTAGATTAAGCCCAGTAGCAGATTTCTTATAGAACACAAGCATTTTCTAGTTAAGGAGAGAGGGAAGAATAGTTCCAGAATTGCTGTGAAGAAATGTCCAAACAGTGTAGTGTCTGTAAGACACACGGGAAAGGAAACTGAAGTCCCCAGCTTTTTTATCACTTGACAAGAGCTGGTGCTCAGCGGTAATGTGGGCATGCCCCTGGGTTCACTGCTCATTAGAACATGATTCAACACCTTGATTTCTGGAAAGTTTAAGCAAGGGATGAGTGTTGGAAGATACCTTATGCATTTCCCAGTTAACTCAGACATCTGATTAGAAACTCCCAACACTTAGTATTTCTCGGCCATTGGTTCCCTTAGTCAACACTTCTTGGTTGAATTATATTGCTCCTTCCAGAGTCAACAGATGGGAAAATTCATACATTCATAGGTATGCAACTTGTAGTTTCAATTTGATTTAAACACAAGCTCAACAGCCACAAGAAACAGTGATGTGTAAAGATCATGGCAACTAATACTAGTGACTTAGAGAAGCAGACAACAAAGGAGATGCAGGAAGGAAACATGACTTGAGAAGGGCCACAACGAGCATCCACAAAGCAGGCAGGCAGGAGGCTAAGACCATCACCCTACATCTGCAATGCCCATATGACATCTTATGTAACATTACTGGATTCCAGAAACATCTTCATAAGGTACATGAAGAGAATCTGGTCCTAATATAGCTCAATCCAATGGGCACTTCGAGGTAATTTTGATAACCAAGCTAAACAACAATCGGAAGATACACTATAATATAGGGTGCCTCAAAATTTGTAGCAAATATGTAATGTGAAAAAAATGTAGAGATTTCAAATTTTTGTACCAAAATAACATGTTTCAATTCCATTTTCCAGGACCATTTAGAAGTACCCATGTATGAAACCACATAAAACCAATCCTTAATGTTTGCATTAAGAAATGACTTAACACTATTCCATTTAGCTCTTTAAATGTATATCCAGGCATAATATGCAAAGAATAATAATCACCTTGGATATCCATCATGTAAGCATACTTTTCCATCTTCTATTTTGTTATGTACTTCATGGGTAGATTTCTATTTGTTGAATTATCATGTGGCTATTTTTTTTCTCAGGTTTGGTCAATCACTACATGCAAGACAATGTTGCATGACATGGAACACACTGTTTGGTCATAAATAGCAAGTATTGCCAACGAAGCTGTTGATTTCTAACTTTGAAGAGGCTGCCTTTCGTTTCCATTTTTAAATATCAATCTTTAAAAATTTAAAGGTATATGAAAGTTATTTAATCAAAATTAGCATTACATGTTTTAGGCAGTAAATTCAATAGTTGGAAGTGTTCATAATTTCGTTTGGAATAGAGACTTGCCTGATGATCTCTATTGTGAACAATGTGTAACAAGATTCTGTTAGTAAAAAAAAAAAAAAAAAAAAAACAAGAAAAAAAACACAGTTAAACAGGCTAAAGATAAGAAACAGGAGAATTGGTTCTATTTTCACATAAAGCAGATGCATTTGGTCAGCATTCTAGAAAGCAGGTCTTCATAAAGCGATAGCTAAGCTATGATGAGGCTTTCAACACAGAATACACAATGAGGCACATCCAACTTACATTGCACATTTCTCTGACTATAGCTTTTTCTGTCTCACTAAGGTCATGTTCACACTCTTTACCCTGTTGGCGATCTACAGTTTCCTCAACATCCAAGACCTGGATTTGTTGAAAAACAAAAGCAAATTTCACATGGAAAAAACAACTTGTTAGTTAGAATAAAAGCATCAAGGAGCTCTACTCTAAAACCTTTACTTTTCTCCGTGTCTGCATATCAAAGTGGATTAACAAATGGCAAAGGCTTTTAAAAGCTGTTAATTGTCCTGAAACCTGTCTGGAATGAATTCTACTAAGTTTTCAGATGGACATTAAAAGCAATCCATTGCTTCACTAGTAGCCAATCGAATTCATTCACATGTACACTTATTAGGTGCATTTGTTATTAAAGCAATCTAGTAGTACAAACTATTTGAAGATAACCAGTGTAATGGCAAGCAATAGACATAATCCTATATGCCAAATAGTCCAGGTGATATGTAGACCGGGCCTACAGAAAAGATGACAGTGACAGATAAAATGACTCAGAACCTAAGGCTCTGCCCATAAGATCTCTTGGTCTCACAGTTCTTGCTTGCGCATGTAACCACAGCCTAAAACAAAGATTGTTCTTTCACAGCAGCAAAGAGATATACTAGTGTTTCAGAGAAAATATTCAAACAACACTTTAAATATTTTTCTGTTAAGTAAGATGTCCAGCGATTAAACATTTTTATATAAGTTTAGTGATCTGTTAGCACTCATCTAAATTTGCCCTAAATGGATCAAAAGTATGTCCAAATTTCTCAGATGGATGCTTTCAGTAGTAGGAAAGGAAGCAAAACTTTGGCTTTGAGAAACCAGAGCATTTACGCAGCCAATAGTATCACTGTTCCTAGAAGCTCCCAGAAAACTGCACTGCTGGGGGTTCCATTGTCCTCATGGTCAGTGCTGATTTTGACAGCTGACACTGTCACCTTAGAATCTGTACCAGCAGAAAATTAACCATAATAAGCCATTTCAATGCCTACTTAAAGTGTCACCTTCATGTCAAGTTCACAAACACTGAAACCGAGTAGAGTTTAATTCTGTAATTACATAATCTAATAAACTATTTAAACTCCTAGTTATCATTGGTAATTATCACTTCTTATAGCTCGCTTTACAGCTAATTACCATCTTTTATGTACTTAGAAGAAATCAATGTTTGTGCTCAGTGAATATTCATAGACAGCTTGAAGAGCTCCTTGAACATATTTCTCTACAAATTTCATTTGTAATATCACAAGTGTGTACTTCAAATCAGTTAATTCCAAAATGGAAAGGAAGTTGCAATTAATAGTTATGCATTTTAAAGCAGGAAACTATATAACAAATAAGCTAGTTTCTTCATCTGATAGATAGCATTTTCCCACAAACCATAACCATTGGGTTTACCGGGGCCTGGAGCTCGCGACAGATGAGAAAATGAGCAACTCAACAATTGGTTGAATTATGCATTTCAGTTCTTATAACTTTGAATGAAAACAAAAATGATCCCAAGAGGAGACAAATTTTTCAAACTTGTAACAGCTTTTCCTTGTCCTCCACTCACTGCAGGCCACGCTAACAGCTCTATTGAGAATGAAGGAAAAATTGCATTGCCACCAGATTCCAAGAGCAGCTGCCATTTAAAAAGACAGCCAGTCAAAATGGCGTGCACATACTTTAAGTAGTGACAAAGCACTGCTTTTGGAATATGTGCAGACACACTCTAACACTGCAATGTTGAAGCCATTCTCTGGTCCATTTCCCACTTCTAGAGTGCTTTTGATAGCTACTGTAAATTCCTGCTAAGTTTTATATCAGCTGCTATTGCGGAGAGGAAGTGGCTCACTAGTGCATGAGCCAACTGTACTAAAATGCAGCACAAAGCCTCCCGTTTGGGGGTTCTCACTCACTTCTTTTTGTACACCAAGAAGTGTCGGGTGCCCTTCCCCAAAAGTACAGCTTCACTCTGAAGCTGTATGAATCATTCTGAAACTGAAACCATTGGAAGGAAGGTTATGAAGTGCATGTGGGAAAAGGAGAATTGAGGCACTCTACCCAATTTATGGTTCCAAAGGGGAGGAGGGGCAAGGCTATATATGGGAATTATTATTCAGAACAATGTTTCATATTTTGGAGTTGATCAGCTTTAAGTAACTGGCTCAATCTTCAAGCACTGCTATTGCTGGGGTCACTTTCTTCTCTTAGATAATAACGTATATACACACAATTATGCCACTTTATTAGATCGGGAAAGCTAATTATTGGGTAAAAATGGTAAATGTCAAACTTACTAATTTCAATGAAATCATTGCTGAATCAAGCACAAAAATAACTCCTCTTTGTCTAATACCATTATCACTTCTCCAATACCCTATAAAATAGCACTAAGTAAAAATCTGATTTCAACTTTGTAGATTTTTGTTCACCGTAAGTTGCACAACGTACTTCCTGCATATATGGTGCCCCCCTTATTTTTGACCTCTTACTCCCTACATTTGAAGACATCCATGCTAAAAACATTGCACATAAAATACCTGCCACAGTATTTTGCACATATGGATACACATGCATATCAGACTTGAACTTCAATGCAGACTGGTATGAATCACATTACTCCAAACAAAATGGTACAACTAGGAGCAATCATAAGAACGCAAGCTGCTTTGAAAAAAAGAGATGAAAATCATAGGTCACAAATTAAGATTAAAATGTTACTCCACACAAGGTCAAGAACAGAAAGGATCTATGGTTAAAGAAAGACTGTGAGGACTATCAGACCACAGCACACAAGCCACAAAACAACTGAAATTCTGGATAAATGGTTGCACACGGTCGGTTACCTTAAGAGAATGTACCACAGGTTCAGGCTGCTGAGAAGGTGTGGCATGTCCACTGAAGCTAGCAGGAGAGTTGGGCGAACTGTTATTCCCATCAGCCCCTGATGACAACCTAAAAGAACCCTTAGTAGAAAACCAACAACTTTGTTATTAAAACAAAAGTCGTTCATAACTGCATAGATGTCATTCAATATTTCAATTGCACTGCCAAAAGAAATTTAGCCATTCTTAACAGCTTGATAGCATCTTCGGAGAATCAGAAAACAGGTGGAATTTACTTGCTGCTTGACCAGCCAAAAAATCTTCACCAAAACTCTTCTCCATATATGTCCAGATGTCATCTCTGACTTACAGAGAGCAATTTCCCCAAGCATGGACATGAAGAGTATTTCAAGGGTGAGTTTTGAAAGTAAATTACTCAAAAACAAGGCATTTGTGAGTTACACCGTAGCTGAGTTCAGTATGCTCACTCAGCAAGCCAAATGCCATGTTCCATACAAATCAGAAAATGCAGACAAAGCAAGTCCCTGCATTATGACAACACTCTACAAAACACAGTGGAGTGTTTTCTAATGAGGTTTAAGTAATTTGACCTTAAACGATGCTGTCACTTTCTGGCCTTTTGAAAAATGCAGAAATAGGTAGTTTCTACATAGTTTCTATATATTTTTTTCTCCAATGATTCTTCAACTTAACTGGTCAGAAATCAGAATTCCAGCATATTTAATTTGACCTATGGGATTCGAACTGGGGATTTCTACAGGTTGCTTGGGGACGGCCAATGGATCAGCACAAAAATGCAATGTACCAGTTACTCTCATTTTTAAAAAAAGCAGTTGGTATTTATACTAGACTAATAACTGCTCTATTGGAATTGATTCTGTCTACACCCCCTGAATAGGCGTCACTGAAGGTGTATTAGGTAAATTCACCAAAAGAGAAACCTCAGCACTTTGGGGTACGAATCTGCAGCAATGCAGGTCAACATTTACAATATCAATTTTGAGAATGGGAGCAAAATGCTGCAGAGGCAACAGTTACAGATAAGGGTTATATGTGAACCACACTTTTTACAAGCAAAGTTACAGTCAATATTCATTTTTAAGGAAATAGTTACTGATTCAATTTCAAGCATTTTCTCTTGTTATTTCTTCTTTAATCAAGTTCTGCCCCAGGTGGCTTTAAAGAGGAATGTCCTATTTCTGTCTCCTGTTGCTGCTAATAAATTAATAGCAAGTGTTGGCATAAGACAGTCCTAATCTCTTCTGGGCATGGAAATGGCAAGATCTGCTTTCTGGTATTTGTAGCTCAGATGTGACCAGCAACATAAAGTCTGATGCAAATAATAAAGGGGAAATGTTAAGATGCTCAGGGGGAAGGTACAACCTTCCCTTCCCCTCCTCACCATTCAAGCAGGAGCAGCTCAAATTGTACTAGAACTTAGGAGTTACAAAAGTTTTTAAGTAACTCCAATCCTGTGGTTATTTCCTCTTTTTAACTGGTACCATGTTTATGAACTCTGGAGCACTTGAGTTCCCAAGGTTTAGATTTTTCTTAGCAGATTTGGCAAAAAAAAAAAAAGTATGCATAGCAATACTAGAGCAAATCTGCTTTTTCCCTGAGCCTCTATATTTTAAAAGAGAAAATTGCTAAAATCAATATAAATAGCCTTTCTAAACCAAGTCATTTTGGCCAGTTGCCATTATTTGCTTTAATAAATAATTGCTTCATTTCTTAAAAAGGCTACAATAGGATCTTGCCTAGAGTATACAGTATTGTAGGGAGGAATAGGGAAATAAAAATAGCAATTTAATGCTTGAATGCTAAGTAGCTTTGAGACCCATGCTCTAGTGATCAACCAAAGTACTTAAATGCCCAACTGGTAAAACGTAATGCCAAGAGGGGCTAAATAGTTTCCTTGAACAACAGCAAGCACCTCATTTTATTACACATTGATTAGTACCAAAGATTAAGACATCTTCTGTGTTCTCAGTAGAATAAGACCATTATTTAGGAAATGATGTAGGTTCAGTTGATTTCCAATCGACTAACAGATAGTCATTGAACACCAAATAATTTTAAACAATGCCTTGGAGTTTATTTCCATAATGTTAAGACTATTTAAACTGCTACAGGCCACCGTTAGTTGCTTGGGTATTTTTTAAATTATTTTTTTATAAGCCTCTGAAAATTTAAAACAAAAAATGAGTTATTTCAGAGGCATAGTCTCTCCACTACAGAGTTCAACAGATAAAAGATGAATACACCCACTGTCACCTGAGCAGAGGTTCAACAGGGTGAGGCCTGGTGAAGTACTTGGATTGACATTGTTTTCAAGCTGCCCCTTTGTACCACCTCCTGCTCAGCAGTCAACTGGAAAAGACCAGGAATAATTTTCCAAGCTGTTCTAGAGATATGGGGGTGTTAATTTCCATGGTCATAGATATTTCTTTTTCTGTTCTTTCCATTTGGGGTTGCTCAACTTGGACCTGCAAGATCAGGAGGGAAAAAAGCAACTGCAGGTGAACTACTGAGGAGGTCAAAGTGCCTCCTCCGTCCTCAGGGTCACTCAGCCAGTACCTTGGGGTGAATGGCCTTAATCTCCCCGACCCAGTGCAACCTTTTGCTCTAGCAGCAGAAGCCACCTGGTAGGGCAGCCAGCTGACTCTTCACTCACCGGCAGAGTGGGCAGGCATCGTCCTATTCCTCGGCACCCTTGCCACCACTGCAAGACCCGCCGGGCTCTGGGCCCCCAGCCTTTCTCCATATTTGAGCTGTTTTTAGTTGGAGGTTGCCTTCTATTCTGGGTGGCCTTATATTTGGAACAACATGGTACAATCACTCAGAAAAATACTGTTTCCCAATCTCAATAAAGCAGATAGAACAAGAAACTTGATGAAATGGACCACAGTGACCACAATGGCAGGTTACAACATGCATCCGTAGCGAGCGGAAAGCAGACACCGTCTATGCCCCCACTCCTCACACCTAACACGGCCTCTTCTCAGTCCTCAGCAAAATGATCCTGTTCTCAAGCTACCTAAAAGATATAGGTGACAAAATAACAAAATGGGAGGTTGCTCAACTATTTCATAGATTTCACCTGTGAAATAAATAACTACCATGGTCTTCCAAGTACATAAACTGTTGAACTTCAAATCCTGAATTTTGAACACTATGCTTTTTTGTTAAACACAAGTGTGTGTATATTATATGTGTGTGTGTGTGTTATTAATACTGAGAAAAAGATTGTGTCACATGAAATAAATTATTTTACTTAAGTCTAGATAATTATGTCTATTTCACTCCAAAATGTCTGTTCTCATTAACATAACAGATAAAAATCAAAAAAGTCCCTAAATTTCATAGTTTTCTATGGCCAAACTCTATTCCTACTAAAATGATCAGAAGCAAAACACACTTACTAAACATGATCTCATGTCCCTGTCAGGTTTCACTAAGACCTTCACCTAAGCATGCTACGTTCCCAGGAATAAAACATTACGGAACTTTCACAAAATTGCCCTGACTTTGATGTTAACTTTAGGAGATGCAAAATGGAAATATTCTACTTATGAATTTTTTCCTCTGGAAGTTTGTCCTGTATTCTAAGTAATGCCAATTTAATTGTCAGTAATCTCTAACTTCCTGGAAGCTAAACAATGAAGAAAATGCATCACCATCAAAAATAAAAAATGAGAAGCAGTGAGGCCCAGCAGCTGATAATCACAAAACTTTTCTCAGTCTCTGAAATGAGTACCAGTTAGCTATGACAGAGGTGACTTACACGCCAGGCGTCACAGCACGGACACAGTATAGAAAATTATTATTCACGCCTGGGCTGCACTGACCTTTTAAACATTACAAAACTGACTTCAACATTTCCCCTTTGGTAGTTATTTCAGTGTCCAATCCTGCTGCATAATCAAAAGAGCTATAACTGTTTCCAGCCATTTCATACACGGCATAAAACTCACACTATATAATGCTGAGTCATGCAAAATGTACAGTTACTTTTATTAATACAGACATGATCACCTAGATTTGATCATTCTCCATGATTTATGCAGCTCTCTGACCTTATGTGTTTCAGATTCAACAACGAAATAAAACATGAGCACCACAATTCCGACGTTCATTCTTCATTGATGAACTGGCGCTTCTCCATTACAGGAAATTTAATTACCGTGCTCAGAAAATCTGAGAGTGTCCCTAGAACCACTAGAAAGCCTGCCTGAAAGAGTAGCCATGCAGGTAGTTTGGGAGACAAGATGTGGGCCCAATGTGGTAGCCTAGCAGCTAAAGTCCTCACCTTACACACGCCAGGATCCCATATAGGTACTGGTTCTAATCCTGGCAGCCCCACTCCCTGCTTGTGGCCAGGGAAAGCAGTCAAGGATGGCCCAAAGTTTAGGGACCCTGCACCCACGTGTGGGAGACATGGAAGAGGCTCCTGTCTCCTGGCTTCAGATTTGCTCAGCTCCAGCCATTGCAGCCACTTGGGGAGTGAATCAATGGACAAAAGATCTTCCTCTCTGTCTCTCCTCCTCTCTGTATATCTGACTGTCCAGTAAAAATAAATCTTTAAAAAAAAAAACCAGTGAGGGGCCCGGCGGCATGGCCTAGTGGCTAAAGTCCTCACCTTGAACACGCCGGGATCCCATATGGGCGCCGGTTCTAAACCCGGCAGCTCCACTCCCCATCCAGCTCCCTGCTTGTGGCCTGGGAAAGCAGTCAAGGACAGCCCAAAGCTTTGGGACCCTGCACCCCTGTGGGAGACCTGGAAGAAGTTCCTGGATCCTGACTTCGGATCAGCATAGCATCGGCCGTTGCGCTCACTTGGGGAGTGAATTATCGGATGGAAGATCTTCCTCTCTGTCTCTCCTCCTCTCTGTATATCTGACTTTCCAATAAATAAATCCTAAAGAAAAATAGTGAGACCAGATGCAAAGTAAGAAAAAATAGCTATCTCTTTTAGTGTTGCAAAAAGTTTGTTGTGGCTTTTCATTTAAGGGAATGTACAGTAGCTGTGTAATGGAGACTGTCATATCTAGTAACATGTTATTCAAATTCATGGCATTGTAAACTTCTATTTTTTTCCTACTGTTGATTTTATATTGTAACTTTTCATTTAAGGGGATATACAATAAGTGTGAAATGGGCAATAATATATCCAGATGTGTGGATACAATATAATATATATCTCTACTTCCAAAGATGGACTCCCAGTGAAACTGTTACCTATATCTTAACAATAGGATGCTGGATTTTGCCATCGTCCATGCCTGCAATGATGGACATATGACTGTTTATAAAGAACTATACTTTAGTAATGATATAGGGGAACTAGTTGGGGGGAGCAATAGGGGAGGAGATAAGGGAAATCCCAGGAGCTTATGGAACTGTATCATAAAATGATAGTAATAATAATAAAAAAATCACTAATAAAAAATAAAATAAGTGCACTATATATTGCTAATCCTTAAAGGATTAATGTATAAAGCTTAGGTTTTGCAAACCATATGATATAATCACCATAAAGGAAAAATGTGCAAATTTATTGACTTCCCACCGATTTCAATGCTCATTTCTTTAACAACAAATGCTATGTGCACTGACAAATGTATTCTGGGTGAGACTTCATTGTTGACCTTCCAATAAACTACACATAAATGGCATTTGCATACTAATAAAGGCTTTGCTGTAGCAGCTCCTCAATTCTCTCTCCTGGTATTTTCTGAGACAGCTCCAAAAACCAGAGAATCTTTTAGTCACTCAGTCCCTGCAGTTGCAAAATGTAATTCAAAACAGAAAAACCCACTCCAGGCTGTGGCAAGTAGTAATAATCTTAAAATCACTGTCTGTTTCTGAAGAATTTTATCCTGTTTAGTTTTGTCCTGTGTAGACTTCAAATCATCAAGAAAGCCTAACAACCCAATAGACCCATAGAAACCTGTGTATTGGTCAGCACCACTCCCCCTCCCCCGGCTACATAAATTCATAACTCATGAATCATTTCACATCCCATAATGGCCCACCCTATTTGCTCATGGATGAATACTCTGCAGCAACATTGCATTGGAGGGATACATCACACAGAATCCATAGAATGTGATAAAGACTTCCATAGAACGCTGAAAGCAGCCTTGATGAGCACACAAAAGTATCCCTTCACATCACTGAAACAGATAAAATACGAGTACTTTCGTGCCTTCACATATTTGAAAGTTCATAATAGTTTGAAAGTGGGTCAATTTATTTTATTGCCCTTAAACACAAGTACCTCTTATTCAGAATGAAGTAAAAAAAAAAAGTCATTGAAATTTACAAAAATCGAAGGAAATTAAAAACAGATAATGATGTTACAACATAAAATGCTTATAATTCATGAATATAAGGAGAAGTGGCACAAGATGTAATCACTGGTTAAGTTGGCCATTGTTATGTTTTGTAATAGCCACTTTTTGTTAAATTATCATAAAACTAGAAGTTTCCATTTTATTTCCCAAGAACATTTATCAAAATTAACAAGAACACCTTGGGTTTTGCTTTTTTATGTTAAAAACAATATTTTGTTTTTATTATTTTAAAGATTATTCTCTAACAATGTTCTTTTTGTAATAAAGTAAATGCAGTACTACTTTGCCTAGGACAAGGCTATGTTCTTTACAATAAAATACTCCCACTATTTTAAATTCTGGTGGGATTCATATGCATTCTCATCAAAAAACAAAAACCACTAATGACAAAATATTTTGCTTAACAAGGCTGTATGCAGCCCAAGTGTTTCATCTTTTTTTAACTTGAGCTTTATCCACTTTGTAACCAAGAATGCCCAGAGTCTTGAAAACACAGTGAAAGTCACAGGAAGCTTAAAATTTGCACTTTCAACTTCTGGTTTCATTGTATCTTTAGGACTATGCTTTGAACAAGATTTCATTCCTCAAACACAGAACATCGTATGTTAACAATAGATTGATGACAGATTAAAGTAAGGAATGATTTCATTATGGTTTCTTATTGGATGATGGTACCTTTCAGACATGCTTAGGAGGAGCGATCGCCTTACTGGGCTAATCATGCTGACTTGAAGAGAAAAGGCCACTCACTCCCAGTCTGTTTTGTGACTTGGTCCTGGTTCTCTGTTTTGTGATATGGTCCTGGTTCTCTGGTGCCTTCCCCTCCTTTGAGTGCCAGACTAATACAAACCACCAAAACCGTGATCAGAACTAAATCTTACAGCTTCCTAAGTATTTTAGTTTCTTAGGTGTTTTAGCTAAGAAAGAAGTGAGAATGCTAATGCAATTAGCTAACTGAGGTAACCAGCCAAGTTAAAGGATTACATCGCTTTGCGAAGAAGCCAGATATTCACAGAACTGAGTTCAATGCTTCATAGGACATTGACATTTCAATTACCTGTCATTGAATTAGAATTGGTTATGTGATTTCTCAAATTATTCAAAAATAATATTGCTTTACACAGTTCCCATTATATGATTATGTAATGGGCATCAGTAAGGGGAAAAGTGCACTGGTATGTAGAGAAGCAAAAGCGTGAATTAAGCACCAGTCTCAAGCACAGCTGTGTGCTACACAGTAGTTGCTGTTTCTTTAAAGTTCTGAAATCTTCTGCAAGAGGAATATTGTATAGTTTTCTAGAAAATGACGTGCTTTTGAGGAGTTTGATAAGAAAGGAAAAGTGAAAACCTGAGGGGAGGGTTAAGAGAGGCCATCCAGGGCATGCTCCACGCATCTCAGTTTCTGAAGAGATAAAGCAAGATTTCTCTTGGGTGCAGCAGGCACTTAACCTAA